TTTTCAAAAGACATGTGGTCTCGTTAGACTCGCATCACTTGGCAGTCACGTTTCACACGAACATTTAAATTTCATGCCGTCACACACAGCTTATTATGTCTTAATACCTTTTTTTCAGACTCCATCACAACAAAGGAAAAAAATCAATTCTGTTAAGTCAGAACCCTGTACCAGCGGTGAGAAGACAGCCACCGAACCTGTTGGCACTGATGTCACTGGCAGGTTTATGACGTCAGGAAAGGTAGGGCAGTACAAAGAGGATGTGTCCTGCAGTGTTCAGAGTTGCCCGCCTAACTGATCCAGCGTGCAAGGTTCACTTTTCGGACTAGCACCTGATACGACACTCTGCTCAGACATTAGCGCGTGAGGTTTAACAGTGCGTGTCGTGTATTGTCTGGGAACATTCCCAAAGGTGTCAGAAGAGGGCAGAAATATACAAGTGAACAGGCTTTCTCTTTAAATTTGTGACCCCTAACTCTGCCTGTTGTGATCATGAACATTTACTCTTAGCGAAGTATCTAGTCTCCCGGAGCACCCTCCCGGGAGTTACGGTGATGGGGCATGGTTTGCATACATTCACGTTTCTGCACCAGGAGTGTGAATTGCCCAAGGAGTGACGTCCTTAAATCTATAATCTGGTTTTGGGTTAGGGTTGGGAAGCACTTTCTCTCTGTGGGTAGAGCTCTTCCCTGCCCTTGTCTGCTCCCAGCGCCTGTGGCTTGAAGGTGTATTTAGGGACAGATTTCTCTCTCCAAGGGAAAATGAAGCCAAAATATGATTTTAGCACGGCAAATAGACTTCCAGCTGACTTCCATCCCGGGCAGACCCTCTGAGACTGAAGGCTGGACTACCAGATGAATAGTGTGTAATTAGATAAAAGATGTGAGTGTTTTTTGGCTGAAGTAAAACCTAGGGAATTATTTTTCCCCAAGTCAAAAGATGAGTTATATAGACAGAATCTGTGAATCTACATACTTTATGCCTTTATAAAAAATAATGACGTTTAACTGTAAGGAAAAGGTTCTTATGTCAGTAACTTTAAAAAATATGTCTGTTGGCTCCACGTCATGAGGGCCACATGGAAGGGAGGGCTGCGTCTGGTGTCCTTTCCCAACTAGAATTTATATAAACAGGGATTTTCTTACACTGATTTTTTTTTATCATCGTGCTTAGAATTAAATACATTGTAAGGACTTTCTCAGTCTGAGCTGATATAACTGAACACAGCCTTCTGTTTCAGTGTTGGGGCTGAGGGGCTGCCCCACTCATGACCCACTCATAAAGCCAGTGCTTTTTGTTTGGGCTTCCCATATGTGGTAGTTGAAACTTCTGTAAGTCTTAAATGGGAGAGAGGATGTTTCTTTTGAAAAATTGCTCAGTGTATGTTTAAGACAACCGTGTGAGGGGAACGCGGGCGCCCCCTGACGTGTCTGTCTCTGTGCAGAAGAAAGCCGTGGTGATCCGTCACCTGTACAGCGAAGACGGCGCCAACCTTCCTGAAGATGCAGGTCCAGTAACACATGTTAATGAAGCATTTGACGTTTGTGACCTAAAGGCTCCTGAAATAAAGATTCCTGAATTAGAGATTTCTGAGATTAACTGTGAGCAGCAGGTAAGAACTGTGGACTTCTTTAGCAGATGTCAATACTTCTCGCTTTGACTTACATGAGCATTTCAGCATCTAATCTTTGGATCACTTCCGGCCTTCTGAATGATCAATCACGTTATGCTACCTTTGTTACTATTACGCAAGAATCAGTAAGTCTTACCGAAGGTCATTCAAAAGGTATTATCTGCTCCACATGTCGAGGGCACCAGGCGGGGTGTCGTGGCCAGAGCAGTGATGAGTAAGACATAATACTTGGCTTCAAGGAATTGACAGCCTCGTGTGAGATGAAGGTACACTCCTTTACAAGTGACCACACAGACAGCGGAGCACTGCCCATCACCCGCTGGAGACCAGAAAGTGATGTGTCCCCGACCATCTCCCTCATTCTTCCTCTCAACTCTCCCTCAACAGAACTGTCCACCAAAAAGAGCTTCTCTGTCACTAAAGACTAAATAAAAAGCTCTTTCCGCTGAGCATTTGAGAAGAGGTTGACATAAGATCTGAGCAGGAGGGAGGGAAGCAGTGATGAGCTCTTGGTGTCACACCTGGAGTGACAGGAGCAAGGGCCCCCGTGGGTGCAGTGATTCGTAGCTGCTCTCCAGCGGCCGCACAGTCGGCTTCTCTGATCTGGGCTGAAGCCGGGGGGGAAATAAAACCTGCCTACATTGATTCTTAAAAAAAAAAAGATATGCTACTTTGTTTAGTGAGGGCTCTTCACCACCTATCCCCATGTTGATGAACGGGGGAGGGGGGGCACCACTGTCGTTCCATTTCCTTTTTGGGCCCTTGCTGTCCTCTGGGCTGTCTCTCTCTCAGAATGTCATTTCTACTCCTTTATAGCCACAGACACCATTACAGTGTCCAGTCTCTGCTGCTCCTGTTAAAGCTGCTTTTCCTATCTTTCTTCTATGTCTTGTGACTTCCGTACATCTCGGTATACAGTTGGCATTTATAAAAACCACCAGATGGCCGTGAGGCTTGTTTCCTACTGACAGCAGACCGGACAGGCTGGATGCGCTGCCGCCTCCTGGTCGTTTCCTCTTGGCTCTCTCCTCGCGTGGTGACAAGGAGCTAGTTACGGCTTTATTTGTACTGACTGGCGCTGTTCTGAGAGCTTTATGCACATTAACTCGTTTAATCTTACAAGCCCCAAATGAAATAGGCACTCGTATCACCTGTTTTTTTTGGAAGATGAGGAAATTGAGTCATCAGGGCGTCTCACGGGAGCTGGTGTCGGTGTCCGGGTGGTCTGCCTCCAGAAGCAGCCCCCTGACTCTCATGCTGTCCTGCCAGCCGTAACTGCTGAAGCAACGCAATGAAATGGGAGACACTGAATTATTGGAATTTTAGTTTATGTAATATTTTTAATGTTTCTAATCATTTCAGGATATAAAAGTTAGCGCTGAGATCACTGCACTGCGGATTATGCTTGCTGAATGCCAAGAAAAACTTAAGAAACTGACTTGCATAGAGAGCAGATTGGAATCTCTGGAAGAAAAAATGAAAGGCAAAGTGATGGTGAATGAAAAAACCTGGAATAATCTTCTAAGTCGTGTCACTCTTCTTGAAACAGAAATGCTTTTATCTAAAAAGGTACTTTCTTCCCTCATTTATGGAAGATCTCAGATACAACAAAGAATGTCTTTTCTTCATCGTTATGCATGTATTCTCTGGGATGGCTAAATAAGAGAATGTCTAGGCTACGGGAAACGTTTAGATGGAATGAGATCCTGTTTAGACACGGCCCGTTTGGTGCTGGTGGTGGTGGCTCTGGCTTTTCCCTTCAGCAGGTAAGGTCACCTGACAGCCTTGTAAGTCGAGCCTTCAGACAGGCCCTTTGCTTTCTGGTCCTAGTTTTTCTTTCCTGCCTAGAATTAGTACATTAGTACAAGGCTTCTATCTCCTTCTACATTTAAAAGATCATTTTTTATACGTAGGGATATTTATGTTTTGCTTGTAAATAAAATAATCAGAAGTATTTAAACATTTATTATGTCATATTTTATGCTTAGCGGGAAGAGTATAAAATGGGAACATTTCTTCGCATTTGATCCTAAATGCTATACTGTATTATTCCAGAACGATGAATACGTGCAGTTTAATGAAATGAGTGAAGACTGTGCCTCGAGCAGCGACATGGGTGCTCTCAGTCTGGGTAAGTTCTCGGCGTGCTGCTGACATGGTAAGGACTTTTATAATATTTGGTCATTTTAATATCCTGAAGCCTTGTCTTTTCAGAAACTGCAAAGCTCCTAGGAACTAAGGAAATGCTGAATTTACAGACTATTAGCCAGGAGTTGCTAGAAAAGCCAGCTTACGTATCTTACGTGACAGAGTGGTTGAATAAATTCCAGGGTACAAAACTGCAATCTTTTAGAGGTATTTTACTCCTTTAATTGCAAAATGCTTTAGAATAATAAAAATGGACCGCCAGAGTTTTTGATGCAAACTTAAGTGATAGCTTTCACATATGTAAATAGTATAGGTAAGAGGGAAAAACACACTTGTCAGTAACCTATGAAGTTTTACAGACCTCTTGCGTTTCAGCAGTTCGCTGACGATGATGAAATGAGAAGGACCGAAAAGGAGGGCACATCTTCTCCATGCTGCTTCACTGCACTAGGCTCCTGGCGTTTTCGCTGTGACTGAGCAGCAGGGACAGGCTTTCTGGGCTGGCTCTTCAGGGACAGCTTTTATTTCTTTGGTTCTTACACTTTCTGAAAAGACAAAGGTCTGAATTTTGTCTCGTGTTTGTAATTAAGTCATATTTGAGATATTCTGTCCAATTGAGAAGTCGTAATGAAGCTAAATTTTAAAAATTTGTGCATGTTTAACATCATTCAACCTTTCAGCTACTACATAAATAACCATTTAACGTCAGCACATTATAATGCCAACTGTGGTCCTGCACTGTTCTACCTGCTATAGTGAAAAATGTGATTCTCAAAGCAGCCATCCAAGAACAACAAAACAAAAACAAAAAAAACCAAAGCAGCCATACAAGATAAGTGGTATTATCCATATTTTACAGAGGAGGAAACTGAGGCAGGGAACTCGAATAACTGCCAAAGGCCACACAGCCATTGAATGACGGAACAGATCTGAGTCGAGGCCTATTAGCTTTAAAGTGTTCTCTTCACCACTGCGTATGTAGTGCACATGCCAGTTTCATTGCCCAGAGAACAATTTCAATAATTAGGTTATTAAATATAATTATTTGGGATGCTATTGCTGGCACTAAATTTATCAGAGACTACAGATTTCAGATTGAGTACCGGTTGGCTTTTTTACTTTTGTCATTCATGACTCAACAAATTTGAAAGCTCAGCTCTAAGATTCTTGAGAGCAAGACTGTATTTTATGATCTGTCCAGCATAATGTCTGCGCTTCCATGCCCAGTGCCTGTATGTGGTAGAAATCAAATCTCTATGCACTGAAAGAATACTGAATGCCTGCTATCTGCAGAGCACTGCCTTTTCCAAGTTTGACTTCACCTGTTTGGACTTAGTATTTTTTAAATATCACATTACAGAGTATACTTGTAACGAAACACCAAGCTTAAGACACTGTGCTGGGACTTACAGTGAAGAGCAGAGAGACCACTATCTGAAATGGATGGTAGGTTATGAATAAGGTGGAAATAGTCTCAAGAAATTGATAACCTGCCCTTGATCAATGAAGAGTCAGATTTATAAAGCCTCACCCATCACACCTTACCTGTTACTGCTGCTTGGACGCAGAGGGCTCGCCTTCCTTTTGGTGTCGTGAGCAGTAATTCACCAGTCTGATTGTGGGATCGTGGTAAATTGGGAATGGGTTTTGTGCAGTTCATGCTGATGGGTACGTGGAGGAATGGAGCAGATAGGAGAGAGAAGTAGACAGAAGAGGCTGTGGCTCCGTGACAGAGGAAAGTCCTGTGGTTGCACTTTGTTCCCTAGTTGAGGTTGTCTGTGTAGGCTTACAGTAAAACTATGTAAATCAGTTTAAACGGGTGCCTGGTTTTTTTTTTTTCGGCCTTGTTTTTGCAGCCAAATGCACCGTGACTAAACACAGGGCTTATGGGATTGGTTGCACAGGAGGTCGTCTTATCTGTGACGTTCTATAATTGATGCGGTTGTAGGAAAGACTGCCGTCATGTTGAATGAGTGTCAGGATCCTGGAAATGAAAGGTTGTTCAGTTCTTTAGGAAAGTCAGTCTGTGAACCCTGAATTTTAAGCAGTTTTTTTCCATGGATGTCAACTCAGGGTGGAATGTTTCTTGATTTTTAAAAAGTACGTATAGTCACTTTAAGTAATAGTTGCCACCAAGAATACACATGAGTCAACAGCTTATGCTTAAAAATACATTAACCTGCCTCTTAAATTGATTACTGTCATGATGAAGATAATATCACCTTCTGTGATTTTTATTGGCCAGTTTTTAATACCTAGGTCTCCATGTGCAGGTCATTATCCTTAAAGAATATTAAAGACTAATCTGGACCTCCTATACCAGTTTCCATTTTATATCGAGATGATGTTTGGTTTTCTTCCCTCTATACATAAAATGTTAGACACTTGACTCCACTGTGAAAGGACAAGGTAATCTACAAGTTAATTTCTCCGCAGACAGAAAAAGCAAAGAGGAGAGGCAAGCAGGCGTCCCTCTGTCCTCTGGCTACAGCACGGTGTCATCGGATTCAACTCCCCGGGCCTCCACTGTTAACTACTGTGGTTTGAGAGAGATTTCCGAGGTAAGAAGACCTGGCGCCGACATAGATGATTCCCCCTCCGAGGCTGGGAGGACGAGCAGGCGTTAGATTCAGTCGTAGGTGCCACTGGCGAGAAAAACAGTGAAACTGTAAATCTTAATCCCGTAAAGATTCTTTGCGATAAATAAACAGAACTTAATGCATTGTTTTAGACTGTGTTTTCTGTGTTCACGGACCATCTTTATGGTTTGCTTTGAGAAATTGCCTAAATTTTTTGCTTTTTAAATTACAGGAAACAACAGTCCAGAAAATGGAAAGGATGAAAAAGATGTAAGTAACAGAAAAGGGCAACAGAAATGCGCGTCTCTGTAGGGGGTTGTGTCGGGTTTCAGTGCGCACAGGGCACGCATACGCGTTTCAGACCCTGAAGGTCCCTCAGTCGGGTGTGGGATTTCCTTCAGGACCCCGGTGGATGATAAACCCACCCACCGTTATGTGTTTGCGAGATGAGTCACTGTTTTTGTTTCCAGCAAGTGATGTAAAATGTTGTTCACGGAATTAATTGCAGATTAAAGGGTGCAGAGACATTTTTGGTTGATAGTTCATCAAGAATTGTCTATTTTCGATACCCACTTTGTGAAAATAATAAATTATGTAAATAGGTGGTTTGGAGACATTTAAGTATTGCTATAACATTTTCAGTCCTTTAGACAATTATTGGCATGGTAGAAACTAAGTATGGAACTTTGATCTAACAAAAACATGAAATTACATGATTTTTCTCAAAAGCAGTTGAAGGGAAATAAGAAATGAAATGGCATAGGATTATCATGCAGCCTACTACTTTAAAAACTGTAATTTTGTTTTTGAAATTTGAGATGTACTGAAATAACTTATGCTCCACGAATTAACTCATAACTTTCTGACTGTAGAATGTGGCTATAGAATACTCATTATTCACAGTAACTGTGCCTATAAATAAGCAGTGAAATCTATTTTAGGCTCAAAAGCATAATTTCAACAACCTAGATTCCATGCCTCATTACAAATCAGTTATTTACTTAATATATTATTTATTTATTGTATTTCAGGTTTGAAGAAACTGCAGAGTTACTGAAATGTCCAAATCACTCACTATAGAATTTTCTGCACGAACTTCTCTAGGACTCTC